GGGGCTCCACCAGATACCAATCCATGAAGAATCGATCCAGAAAACAGCTTTCATCACTCCTGAAGGGCATTTAGAATAATTAAGGATGCCTTTTGGCCTTGCTAATGCTCCTGCCGTATTCCAGAGAGCAGTTAACCTTGTTCTCGGAAAGTTGGAAGATTCTGTCGCTTTGGTCTACATGGATGACATTTCAATTCCTAGTCATACACCAGAGGAGGGCCTAGCCCATTTACGTCTTGTCCTGGAGGCACTTAGTGGCTGCTACTACTTTGGAATATCTTGGTAGGGAAATTTCAGGTGATGGTATCAGACTGGGAAACTCAAAGATACAAGCACTGCTAGTCCCCGGTACCAGAAAACGTCAAACAGCTTCGTCAGTTCATGGACCTTGCAGGCTATTTCAGGAAGTTTGTGCCTGATTTTGCTATCAAGGCGACAATGACCAAAAAAGATTTATTGCCCGATGGTGGGTATATTTGCAGGATTTCGATTTTGAGATAGTCTACCGTAAAGGAAGCAGTCTACTCAATGTTGATTACCTTAGTAGAAATCCCATCATCCGGAGAGTCACGAATAACGATTGGGCCTATAATATGGAACAAAAAGGCAGCGAAGAAATACAAAACCTAATACAACAGCTTAGAAATGGCGACCTCGACTCAAATCAGTATGTTGAAAAGGGGGGCATACTGTATCATAAGCATTCTAACCCTGACGGTCGACGGAACAACAAACATACAGTGGTTTGTTTCCAGATAGAGTCGCTTGGGTTTTCTTCGAATTTCCCACGATGAGCAATGCCATGTTGGCTATCAAAAGACTTATGATTGGATCTGTGAACACTTCTGATTTCCTTGCGTGCGAGTGTTTGTCAAACGATACACTAAGCATTGTGTTGTGTTGTATATGCAGTTAAGAAAACAAGAACTGGACCACTCCAGGGTTTCATAAATCCAGTGGAAAAGCCAAAAGGACCATTGCCTGTATCCGCAGAAGCATATATAGGTACCTACTCTTATTGTTGACGCATTAACCAAATACTGTCTATTGTTACCTCTAAAAGTGGTTACAACTTCTGCAAAGTGTGAAAAATTGCAAAACGTCTTCGAGTTATTTGAAACACTCATGGAAATCATCATGGATTGTGGCACATCATTTAGGAATATAACTTTTCTAAAATCCTTGGAGCAATGGAACATTACGTCAGAATGGCCGAACGGGCTATGGTAAATACAGCTGGTTCTAAATACTACAACGCAAAAATCTACAAATATACGACTCCATTGCAACTTCTGTTTGGAATTCAATGTTCAACACCTCTGATTCAAGATTTATTGAAAAATTTGACTTGACACCAGTTCGCAATCGTAGTTTGGACAGACAGCGTGTAGCTGAGAACCTTGCTTCAACTTCCGTTTTGGGTACCAGGAACCAAAAACGTCGGGATGATGTTACATATTCTCTAGGAGACTTCGTGTTAATGCGCAGGGATATGAAGTTTTGCAGTAGAAAATGGACGGTATGAAATTAAGAAGGTTGGTACAAATGTGATAACCAATGCTGCAAAGGAGCAACTTAGAGCATGACACCTAGAATGGACTCAATCTTGTCATATGCAAAAGATTCTGGGATGAAATTGACTCCAATGAAGGTCAGTTAATTTGGTTTTATTTTTCTTGGTCTTTGTCCCTCGGGAGACGGCGAAGAATGTTTTGAAGCCGATTTGAAAGAAAAAAAGATTTGCAAAGAAGAAAGTTGTGTGTACTATCCTAATAGTTTCCAGGGTGATCATTTGAAGAAATTCGCTACTGATATAATTGGTCTTATAGTGGAACTTAACCCAGAGTGAGGCTAGATTTGAATATTATTTGAGGATATTGTGGCCCTTTTGCAGCAGGGATTTACACGGCTCAAAGCTATCATACATTGGTACTAATTTCAAGAACAATTACGCAATATTTAAGTACAGAAATGCTTAATCAATAATAAAACAAACTGATAAATTGAATACAATAATATTTCAAATGTTAATATTTGCTATAATTAATTCACAAACGTAATAATGACAATCTTATCTGATTCCAAAGATTATTACATTGTCTATGTAAACGAAATTAAATATTTAACAATGATTTAACATAATTAATTAAAATTTTTACACGTGATAGCGATTTTTTGGGGAGATTATTTGAGTGCCAAATAATATATGATAACAATCTAAGATTGTTATTTATTCAAACATTTTCTTTGCGTAAATGTTAACATAGCAAATCTTGGACAAACAGTTTGGTATTGTATCAATAACACATGAAAATATCAAAATCTGGCTCAACATCAAACTAATTAGGTATTTAGGTTTCCTTATTAAATTAACTACTGCTCGTCCAAACATTTTTTTAACTAAATTCGATATCATTTGCCAATTGGCAAGTTATCACAAATTTTTATTAGTAACAACAGAAGTATGCAATTACTAAATTACAAACCTACTGTATTAAAATACGTTGTTTTAAACTAAATAAACTTCTCTGAGCTAATATATGACGTCACACTGGTCAACTTAGCCAAAATTTGATTCATCACGCAATGAAATCGTATTTTGTTGCAAATAAGTTCGTCATTCATAATTATGGGTCCACACTTTTAGATTATTAAAAAATATTGCAAAAATACCTACCTACTTCAAAATAATAGTTTTCATATGAATGTTATGCATTTACATAAAATAATATTTCGGTAATAATAAAGATGTCCCTGACATAAACGAATAAATCTCTGAGATACTTTGTTCTACCAAGACATAATTCGAAACACATGTTGTATGTGTACAATGTTATTATTCTGGCTTCAATTAGATCAAATTGTATCAATATCACTTACTATAGACGGGCGGTGACGCACTAGTAATTTACATGGTCATAGGCTTTTCTGAATTAGTATTAATTATACTATCAGTTTAGAAAACACGCATAAATTTATCTAGAATGGTAATAATTACCTACTAACAAATCATGATAGTTTGAAACAAACCTTTTGAACTTGGCAAAGGCTGAGTATATTTTTTTCTTGGAACAGAATGTTGGGAGTTTATTTTTTTCAATGTTATTTCTTTAAAAGCCAAAAAATCACTCAGTTACTATATGGAAAGTAACAAAGTAAGATAATGGAGGCCTAAAATAATATCCATAACTGGAGCTGTTCCAAGAAAAACTCATCGGCGATTCCAGATGATGAATAAATGCTTGTCAAGTTAGATTTATTGTGAGGGTTAATAAAATTGATATTGTTTGCTTATTGAAAACTTTTTGTTATGCTTCTGTGAGTTTTGAAGCTTGATAGAAATTATCATAGAATTAGGTACAAAGTCTGGATTGTTTAATCAGAAATCTTTGATCCAATTACTTAGGTATGACTTCAGTTTTTCTACACTTCCTTGCGTTTTGGACCCACTTCAAAGCGTCTTACTGATTTTATTCTTGTTTTGCCAACACTACTCTATGATTTGCATCCGGATCTATAAATTCAAGAATTCTTTTGATAATTGTCACATCTATATTTTCGCCGGAATTTATTAATGAAATTTCAATACATGTAGGCACACATTCTGAATAGATAATTTCAACATTGCTAAAACCTATTTTCATGTAATATTATGACAGATAGGAACGAACCAATAATATAAAAATAATTGAGTAGGTAAAGGCATATTTTATGCACATAATTGACTGTTTTTCGTCCTGAATAATCAATCCTCATAGCTATCTTTAATTATTGCACCCATTGCATACTAGGCTCCTTATTCAAATTAGTAACTTTTATAATCTTTTAATTATATAGGTTGGCGAACATGTTATTGTTAAAAACACATTTTTGATCAGATTGGCATCAGAAGCTTAAACAAAATAATAAATTATAAACATTTCAGGCAGGATATTAATTTTTCTATTGTTACGATGTATTCAGACCTTGGGAAGAAATCTGTTCAATTTTTGAAAAAAACAAAATATTTAAAATATCAAATAATACATAATAGGTAGGTAGGTACCTTAATTAAATATGTTATATTATTGAGCAAAGTGCAAATTAATAAAAAAATATCTTATTTGAATTTCCTTGGAAAATTTCGGCTACCTAAAAATAATACGTCAATACAAATATGAAAATTTTCCTCGCGAATGATGTAACTTTCTAATGAAGCTAGTTTTTATCATAAAACCACGTAAATTGCCTAAAATGTGTTTTCAAAAATGAAAAAAATTATAGGATAATCGGTAAACACAATTTTTTTCTTGTTTTTGCACAAAATGCATTTTTTTAGTTACCAGGAGGCAAGATGATTTTAAATAACATAATCTAAAGAGCAAATAGAAGAATAACAATGATGGAGCCTTTTAGATCTCAGATCTTTATCTGATTTTTGTATGTTTGAAGAATTTTTTTTCAAGTATATTATGTACCAAAAAAAAAAATGCGAAAAAATACATTCTTCTTTATATTGGCCGGGATTCTGTTCAATTCAATTTTTCGAGTTTTGTCTAGTTTGGAACAAACTCTGGATTTAGTTGAATAAGTCCAAGCTTTTCAATTTTTTTCAGTAAACATTCCTACAACAAGGTGGTTAGGTTTTTAGTTTTATAGTCAGTTTTTTAAATTTCATAACTTGTAACAAGAAACATTTCAAATTTGCCTAATATATTACATGGTAGAAGCTGTTTAAAGTTCGACGTCTCTGTTATTACGAATATTCGCCTATAGGTATATGAAAAGTCAAAAATATAATTTTTCTATTAAGCCATAAGCAAATTTATATTAGAACAATTATCCAGACAAAGAACAATAAATAATTAATTATTCCAAACAATCCGCAAAGCATTTATTTGCATAAAGCTTTTACTCGAAACTTTAATCCTAGCATGTTACGCGGTCTATAGATATCTACCTTTTTTAGCTAGCTATATATTCAGCGGAACAGCTGATACATATTTATACTCATTTGAGCAATTAGACCTAACAGTTCCATTGCCCAGATGTGAGCGTCTATAGTGTCTTGTCTTTATAAATTATTTTTTGTTTGAATTAATTCATGGTTTTTGACGTTATGTAAATAGTTCTGTTTTTTTTTTTTGGGGAAATTGTGATTTTTTGATATTCTTGTTCCGGAAAAATTCATCAAAATGACAGTTGTTACGGGATCGACGCAAAAGATTCAACAAGGAAATGCCATTTTTCAGTATTTAGCAGCTTTAACAGGTAAGTCATTATACTCTAACTGAATTTGTTTCATAATTAGTAAAATTCTCTTTTCTTATGTCCAAATAATATTCTGCATTTTTCACACTTTTAAAAAAATTTAGTTGTAAAAGCCTAAAGATCGATAAGGTCTGATGTTATTTTCAATTTCTCTTGCCCATTTAGCTGTAATTAGGTACCCTAACATAAATTTATTTAGGGAAATTTAAAAAATAATTCGAAACGTAGAAGAAATAAGATAACTTTTTCAGTTATTTTTGGGTTTTAATTTCTAATTTCTAAACTGGGTTGTCTCCAAGATTGTCTCCTTCTTTTTAAACTTCCTTAACAATCGAAACTTCAGGAGCCTTCCTTCATGAAAATAAAATAAGTTTTCTCCTGTTTATTTCTCTTTTATTTTATACTGTAACAGTTTCTTGTATTTAAACATCTTCCTGGTTTATTGTTATTTCACCTGAAAGCACCTACTTCATGTTTGTGACCAATCCAATATACGTTATGTACTTACCCTTGTTTCTGTTTATTGGACACCTTTAACTTCAATTTATCTAGATAGTTCATGTTGGTTTAATTGCCTCTACAATTTCTTCTTCTTCTTAGTTGAATGTAGTGAATATTTCTTTAAAATCCTAACTTTGCTAACTTTACGTTCTTTTTGTTGTCTCTTTTTGAATTTCACCTGAGGGTTGATTTCTCCTTATTCTTATGTACAGTTTTTGAATAATTGTCATCTGATTGTATAATTTTGTATATTTTCGTATAAATGTGTATTCGTAGGTCGATCGAGTCTACGCCACTGGTGTCACCCTATTTCTGACCAGCCCCTTAACCTTCCCCATTAGTATGAACTAAATCCCATGTACAGTTTTTGAATAATTGGTCATCTGATTATATAATTTTGTATATTATCGTATAAATCTCCATTCGTAGGTCGATAGACTGTACGCCACTGGTGTCACTGGTGTCACCCTGTTTCTGACAACTCCCTTAACCTGCCCCATTAGTATGAATTAAATCCCATGTACAGTTTTCGAATATTTGTCATCTGATTATACAGTGTGTCCACTTAAGTTCGCAGCATGTCGGAAACTTTTTCATTATCAATTTTACGAAAAAAAGTTATTCTTTATAAAAGTTTCTGCTCCTTGAAAAAATAGTTTTAAACTATTTAAACTTGAAATATTATGTACAGGGTGGTCAGAAAATAGAAAAAGTATACAGGGTTTTTTGGTGAAAGTAGAAAAAAAATGGCACGTCACTATTTTTTTCAAGCCTTTGATATTTTTTTTGAGACTAAGCAAGTCATATTACAGTCAAAAGATACCTTTCGTTATCACGAATAAACGTGCTAAATTTGAAAAAAAAAAAAGGATTTTTGAGCTGAAAATTTTTTTCTAAAACTTTGACACCCTGTATCTCAGAAACTACGCATATCCGGACACACGTTTATGGGAACTTTTTTTCTTAAAATATTGTAAGGAATCACATCCTGAAGCTACGAACTGTACTTAGGAAACACCTTGTCTATTTTTCTATTTTTTGACCACCCTGTACTAATCCCATGTAGGTACAGTTTTTGAATAATTGTTATCTGATTATTTATTTTGTATATTTTCATATAAATCTCCATTCGTAGGTCGATCGAGTGTACGCCACTGGTGTCACTCTGTTTCTGACAACCCCTTTAGAGCCGGTTCATCAATATAGCGAGTCACCCCCGGGTTAAGCAAGCATAACTCCGGAGTAAACATAGCAACTTGACACGATTTACCCTAGAGTTAAAACCAACCCGGAGGTGACTCGCTATTGAGAAACCGGCTCTTAACCTTCCCTGTTAGTGCGCGGTGTCACACTATGCGTTTTTAATGCTGCCGTAAGAAGGGATGCGTTTTTAACGCTGCCGTTTTGACCGGATGAACTCTACTTGTCAAAAATACATTTTCCAATTTTTTTTCCAAATTTGGCAGGTTTGTTTGTGATAACGAACGATATCTTTTGACTGTAATATGACTTGCTTAATTTAAAAAAAATTTCAAAGGTTTGAAAATATAGTGATGTGGCATTTTTTTTTCTACTTTTATCAAAAACCCTGTATATTTTTCTATTTTCTGACCACACTGTACAGGGTGAGTCATTTTGGGTGAGAATGCCGGGTACAGCCTAAACGGTGATGGATACAAAAAATCTGATATAAGTGTCGCGATCTATTTTCTTGAGTATAGTTTAATGGACCACTCAGAATTTTTCGAAATTCATTTGTTTTCGATATACAGGGGTTTTTTGGAAAATAGCTGATTTCTGTTTTCCTCTGTATCTCAGTTGTTATAAAAAATTTTAAAAAATGTCAAATTACGTTTTTGTGTGATTTTTCACGTAGAATCCAGTGGCGTCCTCAGATTTTTTTTTGGGGTATTATTTTTCGAGATATAGTCAAAACTTCAACTTTTTTAAATGGGACACCCTATATATTTTCACACCGTTAAATTAGGTTTTTTTTGTGATTCTAATGATAAAGAACACTTTACCGTGAAAAAACTATATTTTTAGGGTATTTTATAGAAGTTGTTCCTTGGATTTAGCGATCCCGAACACAAACGTGGTAGGTACGGCGATAGCGGGAGCAAGTGCGGCAGCTACACGGGATCAGAATGGGCTCTTTCACCAATTTTTGAAATTGGCATATTTGGATAAAGCAACTAAAAACAGAATTTTCTGTATTTTTACTTTTGAAAAATTCATAGTCCTTCTTGAGAAAACAGAAAAATAAGAAAAACCTCCAAATAAAAACCCAGAATTTATTACTATGACGTCGCAGCTCGCAATTTGACAGTGTTGCTACTAATTGTCAACAATGAAAATTTGTAATAGATTTAATTCTAAAATGTTGGAAAAATATCATGAAAAGTAGTTCAATTAATTTAGTTATGGATTCAAGATTTTACAAATTTTTTTTTGAAATTATGCTTAAACACAATTCAATACAATTTTTTATGTTTAGTTTTACTTATTTTTTTTACGTTGCACTACAGTCAGTCACATCCGACAACAGCGCATTCGAACCTTGCTGTGCTTTTACAGAGCGTAACACAGCCGAGCCGGTCTTCTTGCAACAACATGAGCGAAATGGAAAATATTTATGTGACGTCAGCGAATCGGCGCGTTTTAAATGATTTTGAATTTCGCAAGTTTCAAATGCCTGTAAAAAACTTATTTAACCTTGTAGAATTTTTTTTTTTGGTATACCTATATGCCTAAAATAGTCCGTCCTTTGGGATTTTATACTTAAATTTTGTATTTAAATTTTAGTGAAAGAGCCCATTCTGACATAAACACAATATCCGTATACTTTGGGCAGGGTCCTTTTTTTCAAAGTTTATTGAATTGAGAATCTTAGGATTTTGAGAGTCGAAAATTTCAATTCAGAATCCAGAGGTACTAACAATCTTCTCTATCTACGAATCTTTTCATAAAATCACCAAAAAATAGTGACAGCTTGCAAATTTTCAAGATTTATGGAGAAAATCAGAAAATTTTTGAGCGAACATGTCAGGATCTGGAGGTCCTAAAGATTTTCTCTTAAAACAAAAAAGTTTGGAAAGTTAGAACTTAAGATTTAGAAACTTAAGAGAAGAGATTCAAGAAGTTTGCAAGTTTATGATAGAATTTAGGATCTTAAAATGCTAAAGAATTGTCTCGAAGAAAACCAGAACGACCTTTTAACTTTAGGAACATTGATCCAAAATGATATTAGAGACGGAGAAAGTCATCCATTGATTGCCACAAATCGAGGATTATAAGCGTGAAGAGGATTGCCTATTATTGTCAAGCGCGGATATCCTTGTGACATCACTACAGATGCGCTCCGCCCTTTTGTTATGCTATTATCATTGTGCTTTGTGATTATTTTCATTATTTATACATTTTTGTGTACTGTAAACGAGAATGGAGAGTGATTTGAAAGACGCATCACGTTTTGGCAAATTTCGTTACACAAAAGAGAAGAAAAATTTAACGTAGAGGGACGGAGAAAGACTACTAATGACAATGATAGCCGACGAACGATTGACACAAACCAAGGATTATACTATTATTGTCAAGTGCCGATACCCTTGTGTCGTCACTACAGCTACATGTTTTCCTACGTCTTTATCCCGACTCATACAAGTCTGAAAGTTGTATGAGGGTGAATAGTTTTTAAGAAGTTTCACTTCTACTACGTGTACGGTGCTGCACATGATTTTTTCTTCACATTTTGTTGGTTTGCACTTTTAATTTTTCTTATTCATCTATGTTACATTACTCATCTAACTTGCATATTTAGACAGTTACAAATTGAATGTTATACGTTACATGTGTTATTACAACAACAACAAGGAAGGAAATTATCCTAAATCGGTGAGGAAAAAAACGTATTCTAGTAAGATACGAAAATTTTCAAGTTTTGTACTTTTTTCGAGAAATATTTTACATTACTAGTGAGAAAAATGTTACTTTCTGCAAATAACAATAATTGAACAATCCACTGAAACAAATTTTTTTAAGTCAAAAAAAATATGCACAAATGTGCATAATATGACATGTCCCAAGATCCTAAAGATCTGGCAGAGATCTTATGAAAATTCTCTCGGAAAAACTAATTTGTAAAGTAATGACTAGGATTGGTTCAAAGTTATCTAGATTTGCTTCATAAAGCCACCAAAAAACTGTGACGGTTTGCATAATTCAAAATTCCAAGATCTGTGAAGAAAATCAGAACATTTTAGGATCTGAAGTTCCTGAAGATCTTATGAAACCTCTTTTAAAATTTCTGATCCAAAACTTGTTCGTAGGACAAAATTAGGGTCTTCAGATTAAAAAGTTTTTTTATCGAAAATTAACTGCACAATCCAGGATCTACAAGACCTAAATTCTGATAGAATCTTTCACTATATTATATGACTAAGATTCAAGATCTAATTTTTCTAAAGTTTCTTTATAAAACCACCAAGAAATTGTGATTGTTTGCAGACATCAGAATACCAAGATCTGTGAAGAAAATCAGAACATTTTTAAATGAATATGTTGAGATCTGAAGTTTTTGAAGATCTTATATGAAATCTCTTCTAGAATTCCTGATCTAATTTTTTCCGTAGAGGACAAAATTCAGATTCAAAAAGTTTTTTTATAGAGAATTAACTGCACAAGTCAGGATTTACAAGACCTAAAATTTTTTACTATGTGACTAGGATTCAAGTTCTAAGTTTTCTAGAGTTTCTTTATAAAACCACCAAGATATTGTGACGGTTTGCAGAATTCAAAATCTGTTAAAAAATCAGTAAATTTTCGAACGAACAAGACAGAATTTAAAGGTTCGAAAGAACTGACAAAAATCTTATGAAACTTTTTTAGAACCAGAAAGTTTGGAAACTAATAATTCAAGATTTTTCTTCTGGAAGAAAATCAGGAAATTAACAAGACAATGATATATAAAATCAAGAGTTTTCTCAAAGGAAACCAGAACAATCAAGGATTAAGTCATAATATAAGAACCTGAGAGTCTTTACTATATATAGATCCTTAGAGATATCTTATAGGAGGAACAGGCTGTTTGCAAAGTAGTAATTACTGAGGATTTCGAAAGTCTTTTTATAATTCCTGATCTGAAGTTTTTGCGTAGAAGGACAGAAGATCAGAAAGTTTTGAAAGTAACAACTTATGATTTAAGAGATTCAAGAAATGTGCTTAGCAAGATTAGGATAGAATTCAGGATTTCAAAGGTTCGGAATTAATAAAGAGGAGACGCCAATAGAGATAGAGATATCTCTATTCGTTACAGAATCCCAGCGCAGAACAATTATTAAGGATTTACAACTCGTAATGATATATTCTTTATTAAAGAGCATAAAAGAGTCTTCTTATAGGAAAACAAGGAAGTATTTAATTAATTATTAAACATTGAAGATTATGAGAATCTAATTTCAAGTCATTTTTCATACACATTTTCGATCTCTCCAGTTAATCTCTCGAATACAATTAAATTCCCAGATTGGACGCCGTTTATCGACATAAACAACTTGGTTCCTAGAATTTCTGGCTGTATGTTTTGATGCAATTTCGTTTTCGGTATCTTTGCCACATTTCCTTGACTTTTTTCTATTCTCAAATGGGGCAACCATTCAAGGTAATTTTTTGGGAATTTTACAAGTATACACCGCACAAAAATTATCGCAGCTATAAAAGCAGAAAACACAGAAATGAACAGCATAATTGCAAAGTGGAATGTATGCCTATCCGCATTTTCCCGAAAAAACTAAACAAGAACCTAACAGAAGAAGAAACGACATGTTTTTTGACTCGAGTTTTTCAGTTAAAGAATGCCCATTCAGGGAATACTTGAGAAATTTTCAAAATAAATTTACTGTAGCCAAAATATTTAAAAGCATTGGTGATGCGATAATTTTTGTGCGGTGTGTATTTTGTTATTAATGAGGAAACAAATCATAATTCTATTTCTGAGCCTAAGATTCACTTTAATGCCGGCCTCACACAGCCGGAATATCTTTCTGAATTCAGGAACAAAATTCAGGATCTGAATTCCGGCACATTGTCGCACACATAATATCTTAAAAATTTCGTGACCAGTATTCTCGTAGTTAGCGGCATCTTTTAAACGGTATTTATTTGAAGGGAAAAATTGAAATTTGAATTCCGGCTGTGTGTGCTTGTATATTTGAAACATGAGTTATGAATTATAATCTCAATTTCACTGTCACTCTGGTAGATCGATTAAAAAAAATTCAAAACTTCATTATCTGAAAAAATCAGGATGTGTGTGTCATCTGTCATAGCAAAAATATATACAATTGCGGACGTTATGAATACAGATTCTTAGTTCAGAAAGACATTCCGGCTGTGTGAGGCCGGCCTCAGAATCCAGAGGTCCTAAGAATCTGAGAGGATCTCAATGATTCTCATGAAAACACCAAGAAATTGTGACAACTTGCAAAATTTCAAGATTTGTAGAAAAAATCAGAACATTTTCAAGCATAAATATCTGGATCTGAAGGTCCTAAAGATCTGACAATGATCTAATAAAACTTCTTTAAGAATCCAGAAAGTTCTTTCAAGCTTTTGTAGAATTCAGAATCTTTAGATACGAAGAGTCAAAATCTGACAAAGACCTAATTAAACTTCTTCTAGAATTAGAAAAGGTTTTCCAAGGTTTGTAGAATTCAGAATCTTAGGATTCAAAGAGTCGAAAACCAGAGTTGCCATATGAAATAAAGAAATTTCGTGAGAATCGAGAAAGAAAAATCGTGAGACTAAAAATTGCTTAATATAAGAAAATAAAGCACAACAATGTTTGTTGATTTTTGATAAAGTAAATATGATTTTACATCCATAAGAAATAAACATTTTATTATTAAATCTTGTATCCTTGTTTTTTTTCTTTATTAGCAGGTTTCTCTGCGAGCTTAGCCTCGTTTTCACTAAGTTCACTATCTGCAGGATTGCCCATCTTAATAAAGCGTACGTTCGCCAATCCTCGAGCCGGAGCAGGTCTGCGACTGACGTCACCACTATCAGCGGCTGATAGTGGTGGCGTCACCCGCAGACCCCGATGGATTGCTTGCGATTCAGGCTGTGCTTGTGAGCTAATTTTTGCGTCGATATTAAATTTAGTAAAGGTGATTTTAACGTTTAGGAATTCATTTTTTTCACGTATAGTGTTTAATAGTATATACAATAGTTATTACGCCATTATTTTTGATTAAACCTTATATTTAATTACTGATTTGTATTACTACAGAGAGAATTGGTAAGAATTGCTACTTCATTCGTGAGATCGTGAAATTCTAACCTAAATCGTGTAATCTTACGAATAATCGTGAGATCTGGCAACACTGTCGAAAACCTCAATTCAAAATCTTGAGGTCCTAAAAATCTTAAGATTCTACGAATCTCATAAAACCACCAAAAATTGTGACGGCTTCCAAAATTTCGAAATCTCTAGAGAAAATCAGAACATTTTTAATCCAACATGTCAGGATCTGAAGGTCCTAGAGATCTTATGAAACTTCTCTTAGAATCAGAAAGTTTGCAAAGTAATAATTTAAGATTTAGAAACTTGGAAAAAGAGCTTTGAGAAATTTGCACGATAATGCGATAGAATTAAGGATCTTAAAAAGGTTTAAAGAGTTTTCTCAAAGAAAACCCGAACAGTCGAGGATTTACAAGTGTTGATAGGCAGTTTGCAAAGCAGGTATAGTATTTTTAATATAAATTGAAGCATTAAAAAAACATCTAAGCCGTTTTCTGCTGGCGTCCTTAGATGTTTTTTAAGTATTTCAAGTCAAATTAAAAATACTATACCTACGTAATTACCTACTGAAAATTCAAGGTTTCGGAAGTCTTTTCAGAAGAAAAATCAAGGAATTTGCAAAACAGTGACTCAGAATTCATGATCTAAAGTTTCTCCGTAGAAAAACAAAGATTTTTTCGAGGTTTTTCAAAAAAAGTATACGGAAATTGGGTTTATGTCAGAATTGGATGAATTTTGTATATAATGTAGATCACGCCTTCCTGATTAAAAGTTATCATTGCACCAATCCTGAAAAATGACTCCTTTTTATGAAAATTAATCTCAATGCAGCACAGATAGGTAGGTAAGCTTGTGGCGCAGTGGTGTGCTACACGGAGTCATTTTTCAGGATTGGTGCAATGGTAACTTTTAATGCGTGATCTACATTATATACAAAATTCAATCAATTCTGACATAAACACAATTTCCGTATACTTTGGGCAGGGTTCTTTTCATATATGTAAATCTCCATTCGTAGGTCGATCGAGTGTACGCCACTAGTGTCACTCTGTTTCTGACAACCCTCCTAGAGCCGGTTTATTAATATGTACGTTACTGGTGTCACCATGTTTCTGAAAACTCCCTTAACCTTCCCCATTAGTATGAATTAAATCCCATATTCTCCTGGGATTTTTTAGCAAATTTGTTTGAGCTTTATTCCATAAATTTCAATAAATTAAATGCAGTGCATCTTTTTCAAAATTAAAAAACAATAAATATATTTTGCAAAAATTAAATTACCTTAGCTATAAAATGACTATATCTAAAAATCCACTACAGAAAGACAATCAAACAAAAATTCAATTACTAATAATAATCAACAAATTTTATTTCCAGGCACACTCAACATTATCACTAGCGGAATGCATTACGGATGGCCATCACCATCCTTACCAAAACTTCTCAGCAATACCTCTTCAATCCCAACAACCGATGACCAAGGATCCTGGATGGCCGTGATGCCCCTGTTAGGAGCCCTGTTAGGCTCCCCGATTGTAGGAGCCACAGTAGACATAGTAGGACGCAAACGCACCATCCTGATATCATCAGCACCGTTTGTTGCCGCTTGGATGATGATCGCTTTTGCTCAATCGGTCACTGTTATTTACGTGGCCAGGTTTATTGCTGGAGTAGCTGATGGTTTAATATTCACATCTCTTCCAATGTATGTAGGCGAAATTTCTGAAGCCAAAGTGAGAGGACTTTTGGGCTCCAGTGTTTCGGTTATGTGGATATTTGGATTATTGCTGGTCAACGTTATTGGTTCCTATTTAAGTATTACAATGTCTGCTATAGTTTGTGGTATTCTACCATTGATTACAATGATAACTTTTCCATTCATGCCCGAATCGCCTTATGGTTTGTTAATGCATAGTAAACCAGAAGAAGCCAAGAAAAGCTTGCAGAAGCTTAGAGGATTGCAAGATGTTGATAATGAATTAAATCGAATAAGCTTAGCAGTCAAAGAACAAACTGAAGCTAGTGGGAAGTTTTGGGATTTATTCACAAACAAAGTTAATAGGAAGGCTGTTTTCATTATGATGGTGCTTAGAGGTGCTCAGCAACTAAGTGGTACAACTGCAGTTACTTTTTATACTCAATCTATTTTTATTGAAGCAGGAGATCATATATCTTCTGAATTAGCTAGTATAATTTATTATTCAGTTCAACTTACACTAGCATGTTTTTGCTCAAGCATTGTAGATAAAGCTGGTAGAAGACCTTTACTTATAGTCTCAATAACTGGCTCTGCAGTATTTCTTTGTATGGAAGGAGTTTATTTTTATATTAAATCTTGTACTAGTATAGATGTAGAACCATTTAGTATAGTACCTGTTGTAGGATTAATAGGTTTTGTGATAATATTTTCTTTAGGAATGCAAACAATACCAATTTTGATGTTGGGTGAATTATTTTCTTCAAACGTTAAAGCTTTTGCCCTATGCTTAGCGGATATTTATTTCGCAATAATAGCAACGGCGGTATCGAAATTTTTCCAAATCATGAAAGACAGTTTTGGAATGTATACACCATTTTTTGCATTTTCTTGCAGTTGCGCCATAGGATTAGTTTTAATTGTATTATTTGTACCTGAAACTAAAGGACAAACTTTGGAAGATATCCAAACGATTTTAAAAGGGGATCAAGTGTTGACTAAAAATGAAATTCGTGAAAATGAAGACAGTTGTTAGAAGAAATCATTGTGAAGCACTGCCTTATTCAAGTATGTATGATAATTATTGCTATATATTTTTTAAAATCACAATGCAAGGCTGATTTTAGTGATCTTTCCTTATATTTAGTAATTATTTTATAGATTATAGTATTATGATTGATGAATGTAAATATGTGTATGAATGTTTAGTTTCTTTTCAGTCATCTGAAAAAATTTCCATGTATGTATTAATATGAAACATTATTGTACGTTATAGCATATTTTTTTTTATCTAAAAGTAAAATATTTTTTTATATTATGTATTTTGTTTTATTTTTAAATTTTAAACCTACTTAGGTACGTTTAATTTATTTAAAGCAATTTGCCTCAACAGCATTATTTTTCTGACCTTGCCATCGTGAAAAAATGCACAGCTTAACATTTTTTGGCAAAGTTATCCGGTAGTATACAAAAATATTCGACAGATGCTATATTTAAAACCAAAATATTTTGAATTGCATTGGAGTGTTGATAAGTACGAGACTGTAACATGATTCATAGTTAATTAGCTTTGTTTAGCGTCAAAATTATTTCAAAAAAGTCATCAAGAAAAACTTGAACTAAGTATGTATAAACATATTTCCAAATTAAAAAAAAATAATAACAAGATTTTCTCTTTCTCGTAGAAATTTGGCATATACCTACCTACATAATAGGTATAGCCGTTTATTTCCAGCAAAAATTGTATAGTTTTTGGCTACAGTAACCGTTTGGCACAACTAACAAAACATCAATTTCTTAAGTATCATCTTTATAACACATGCATCTGTTTTATTTATAAGTTACATTCAAACTACCAATGTCAAAACCAGAGAAATTTCGTTAATTTTAGTTTTAATTATAATCGAAACAAGAATTAACTAATGCATAATGGTCCTTACAATAATTAAAAGTGTCCGAGGTTTTTTGAAAAATACCAACCCTATTTATATTTTATGGATTTTATCCTACCCTTTACGTGCTCACTGTATAACTGTGATTTCTGTTTTGTTTCAAATGGCCACCCTGTATAAGAACATAATGATATAAACAATGACATCTTAACACATAAAAAAAACATCATATATTATCAATGACATCTTAACACAGAGAGACACCGCATCTCGTTCACGAAGGAATACTCTGCAACCTTATAGAAAAAGCACTTTGAACCACGAAGGAATGGTGCCGAATCTAAACTCAGCAAAAACCACACTGGTAACATTTACGAAAAAAACGAAACTCTTAAACCTGAGAAACATTCGCCTCAATGGAAGCAGACCTGAATGGGAAAAAGTGGTGTTAATGAATAGTGGGATCAAACTTTTAGGATAAATAGTACTCATTAAAATGGGAAAAAAGTTAATAGAAACATGGGTTCGCGAATGCTTAGTTTTCGAGATACAAAGTGTCAATGTTTGAAAAAAAATCGGTTATTTAGCTCAAAAATCCCTTCTACAATTTTTTTTTTTTAATTTGGCAGGTTTGTTTGTGATAACAAAAGGTAGGTATCTTTTGATTGTAATATGACTTGCTTAATCTGAAAAAAAATATCAAAGTTATAAAAAAAATAGCGATGTGCCATTTTTTTTTACTTGAGAAAATGTTCCTTTTCTTCATGTAAATATATATTTTCAGAGTTAATTCTGACGAAAAATAAAAAATAAAAAATACAAGGAAGGCACAAATTGATAATTATAATAAATTACGATAATAATTATGTATTTTTTGAAATAAGATACACAATTGCACAATAATTTACAATGCACCTGATGCAAGAAAATATCAGTTAACTATAATTCTACAACTTCCGACTAGAAAAGTAACATGGAACTCTTAATGCATAAAACAGAGATAAAAAAAAGCAAGGATGGCAGTTTTCAACTATGCGTGCGGCTAGCCGCTCTTCAAAACTATGGTCGCTGAACGCCAGTAGTGGTTCGATATGATTCCGGCATTTCTATTGGACGCTCAGATCCGCGGTCCATTTGAATGCTAGATTTCAGTGAAGCATGTGAGAGTCTAGCCTCCAGTCGACCTCTAATGTCAGAATAATTGCAGGACAGGGATTCTGACAAAGTGGCCTCATGTCGGGTACCCACAATTTTTTTTTCTGGTCAATATGGAAATTTCCTTTTCCATTTTTTTCAGGCCTTAAGATGCGCCGTAGCGAGGAGAGTCAAATTAACCTTTCGTTGTATTTTTTGCTTCTTTTTCCAATGTTATTTTCTTTTTCGAAATTCAAAATTTGAGGATATAGGCCTTCCAATTTTTTTTTTTTTAATTTTCAAAGCGACCTAACTCGAAAACAAAAAGCTCGGGAGAAAAACCTCAAATACAAAACTTATAGATCTCGTCGAGTACTACAGAAAACCTTATGAGAAGTATCCCTCTACGGGGCACCGTTTTCGTCAAAATCGACCTCGAAAATTTTAGCAAAATTACAAAAAATTTCAAGTTTGACGGCTAATATCTCAAAGACAAAAACGGCCTGGCATCTCAATAAAAAAATATTTTGTAGGTAATTTCATCCTCTTTCGAAAGAGATATGATTCGAAACAATCGGTGAAGAAATAGCAAAGCTATAAGCGCAAAAGTGGTTTCGTGTCTGGTACTCACAATTTTTTTCTGATCAAAATCGAAATTACCTTTTTTATTTTTTTTCGGCCTTAAGATGTGCCGTAGCAAGGAGGATCAAATTAACTTTTCGTCGTATTTTTTGCTCCTCTATCTGAAATTCAAAATTTGAACTTTTTCGACAAAAAAATTCAAAGGCGTCGAGTACTACAAAAAAGCCTATGAGAAGTATCCCGCCACGGGACACCGTTTTCGAGAAAATCGACCTGGAAAATTTTAACAAAATTACAAAGAATTTAAACTTTGACAGTTGATATCTCAAAGACCAAAACGGCCTAGAATCTCAATAAAAAAACATTTTGTAGGTAATTTCATTCTCTTTCAAAAGAGATATAACGCGAAACAATCGGTTAAAAAATACTGGAGCTATAAGCGAAAAAGTAACGTCGTGTCCGGGCCTTAAAATGCGTCATAGCAAGCAGGGTCCCATAAGCTTTTCAACGTTTTTTATGCTCCTCTATCCGATGGTAATTTTTTTGGAAATTCGGAAAAAAAAATTCAAAATCAAGAAAGATGAGGAGGCTATATTTTTTCCGGTACATCGGAGAGAACTGAAATTCGGAATATCGACTAAAAATCACATTTTGATTATTCCCGATTTTTGATTGGCTCCAAATTATCCGCTGACCAATAGAATTATAGACTGGGCCCCGTGATTAAAATAACTTTAGCCCTTCGGGCTCGTGTATAACTTCGGCCCTTCGGGCTCGTATTACTCCGGCCCTTCGGGCTCGCGTTCAACTCCGGCCCTTCGGGCTCGCGTATAACTCCGAACCTTCGGGCTCGCGTATAACTCCGGCCCTTCGGGCTCGCGTATTACTCCGGCCCTTCGAGCTCGCGTATAATTCCGGCCCGGGCTCGTATTACTGAGTATCCCAGATTCACAGATTTGTGTCGTGGAGACGCGGGATTGATTGAAATAATATTGTCAGATTTTCTAAATTTAATTGAAATATCGAAATTTGGAAAGTGTAATTTGTAAATTATTATTTTAATTAGGAATCAGGAATGAAAAACTGAGATTGAATTTTCAATTTTTTGGGGCAGGCTTAGCCTCCCCTGCCTCCTCTGACGAGCCGCCATTGCTAAACTAGTAGAATAAGTGGCCCTTGTTACTCAACCAATAAAGTCTTGAAATATCCGGCTAGTTTGGATTATTGTGCCCCTAACACCCAGAGTACTGCTCTAAGGGTTAACCTGTTGAACCGAAAGTCTAGAAACATGGAAAGCTTCTTTAGACCACCACAACCTTTGGAACTTGATGGAAATATCGCCGAGAATTGGAAGAAATTCAGTCAAAAAATTGATAATTTCATGATTGCCGCTGGATTTAGTGATGACAAAAAACTTGCTGTATTTTTGTACCTCATAGGGGATGATCTCGGGGATGATGCTTTGGACCTTTATATGTAATACATTTGATTTCGGAACCGAGGTAAAAACACTTAAACTAGTAAAGAAAAAGTTTGATGAATACTGTTTACCAAAAAAAAAATGTTATTTTTTGAAAGATTTGTATTTAATAGCATAGTGCAAAAAGAGAGGCCCAGTCATTCGATAACTTTGTAACTGAATTGAGAAAAGCTGTGAAGACAACAGAATATGAAAAGCAGGATGACATGATTAGAGACAGGATTGTCATGGAAATTAACAATAAAATAACACAGGAACAACTGTTAAGAGAAGGTCAGTTAACCTTGCAAAAAGCTGTAGAAATTTTCAGAGCAATAGAAATAAGTAAGGATCAATCCAAAACATCACAAAACGAAACATCAGTTAGCGAAGTTAAAGCTTGTAGAAACAAGTTGGAGAATAAACAAAAATGTCGCTTTTGTGGATATTTGTATGTAGCTCGTAGTTGTCCGGCTTGGGGAAAAACCTATGCGTGAAGGATGAAATCACTTTGCAAGTGTTTGATTCCAGAAAAATACCGGTAAAAAGGAAGAATATGATCAAAGTGGAGCGTTGAGAAGAAGAAAAGAAAACAAAGTAAAGAAAAAAGTGCATGAAGTGGCAAAGCTGAAGGAAGAATATCAGGAAAGTGGCAGTGAGTCCGACATTAGTGAAAACGAGTTTTACGTGAGTTCAGTAGATATTAAATCAGCATGAAAACAATCATGCCAGTCGGGAAACAATGTGGATGAAAGAGATCAATGTTAATGGTAAGCCAGTTATGTTCAAGCTTGCCACAGGAGCTGAGATAAGGACTTTACCATTAGAACTACCTACTTAGAAAAATTGCTCCAGATGGAAAAAATTTGTAAGACAAACATCTCATTAATTTCATATGGAAACTCCAAATTTCGAATTAAGGGTTTGGGTGAGGCTCGACTTTGTTGTTCAGTTAAAGATATCTAAAAAAAAGTGTCATTTGTAGTGGTAGATGCTCAAAATCAGATTCTATTATTGGGATTACAAGATTGCCTAAGTTTAAACTTGATAAGAAGAGTAGATTCAAAGCCAAAGCTTAAAACCTTAGACGATGTTGTCAAGAAATATTCACATATTTTTGAGGGTTTAGGAAAATTTCCAATTAAACATCACATGCTAGACCTGATGTGAGTAGTATTAGACGTGTTCCACAAATTTTGTATGAGCCCTTAAAAATTAAATTATGTGATCTTGAGCTGAAAGGAATTATAAAAATAGTCGATGAGCCAACAGAATGGGTTCAGACACTTGTTATTGTAGAGAAACCTAATGGGGACCTAAGATTATGTGTAGATCCAAAAGAATTAAATCTGGCCATCAAACGTGAACATTTTTTAATTCCATATGTTGATGAAATAGCTGGGAAGTTAAGTGGAAAAAAATATTTCACTGTGCTTGACATGAAAGATGGGTATTGGCAAATCGAGTTGGACAAAGAAAGCTCGCATTCAATGACATTTTGGACCCCATTTGGCAGACATAGATTTACTAGATTGGCGTTTGGTATATGTTCGGCACCTGAAGTGTTTCAAAAGAAACATTTTGAAGTTTTTGGCGACCTTCCAGGGATTGGTTTATATTTTGATGACCTTAGGGTCAACGGAGGCCGAGCATGACTAAAACCTAAAGAGCAATCAAATATAACATTAAGTTCAACAAAAGTAAAATACAATATAAACAAAAAAGTGTTAAATTCATTGGACAGATATTTTCAGAGCATGGAGTGCAAACAAACAAAAAATATATAGAGGAAATTATTGATATGCCAAATCCTCAATCCAAGGCTGAAGTTTTGCGTTTCTTAGGCATGGTTAAACTTGTAGGAAAATTTATTCCTAACCTTTTTAAAATAACTGCCCCATTGCGTAATCTTACCAGACTTGACGTAGAATGGCATTGGACAGAAGAACATCAAAACTCAGTAAATAATGTAAAACATTTATTAACTAATTCGCCTGTTTTGACCCAAAAAAAATCAATTGAAATTGAGACAGATTCGTCTAAAGATGGTCTTGGAGCGTGCTTGCTTCAGGAGGGAAAACCAGTTGTATTCACTTCTCGTAGTCTCACCAAAACTGAACAGCAATATGCGCAAATCGAGAAGGAAACTTTGGCAATTTTGTTCTCAGTTAAAAAAAATTATTATTTTATCTATACATTTCCTATAAAAGTATATAGTGATCATAAGCCTCTAGAAACTATTTTCAAAAAAGACCTCCAGTCTATTTCTCCTAGAATTTTGCGCATGAGATTGAGATTGCTTAAGTACCTATAATTTAAATGTTTGTTATAAACTGGGCAAATACATGTACATTTCTGATACTCTCTCGAGGGCTTTCTTAAACGAAAAAAACCGATAAATTTGATGTAGATATTGTTTTTGCTATTCATTCTGTCGCCAAATATTTACCAATTTCTGAACAAAGAAAAAACCAATTTCGACAAGAATCCTTATGTGATCCTCAATTAAGTACAGTCCTAAACTTTATTGCTAATGGTTGGCCAACACGAAAACATGAAGAAAGTGTAAGATTGTATTACAAATTTAAAAAAAAATTGTATGTCGATCTGATATTACTAGACAATAAGCTTATAGTTCATTTTAAATTGCGCAGGGAAATGTTTAAATTGCTTCATGAAGGACATCTTGAGATAGAAAAAATGAAATCCCAAGCTAGGAGAATATTTTATTGGCCAGGAATCACAACTGATATTGAATCCTATAGCAAATCTTGTTCTATTTGTACAAAATTTGCTAGGAGAAATCCAAAACAGACACTCTTGTCTTATCCTCTACCTACTAGACCATGGGAAAGAGTAGGATCTGATATTTTTACCTATAGTAATCACAGTTACGTTGTAATTCTTGATGCCTACTCAAACTGGCTAGAATTATTACAGATTCGAGATAAGAGCGCTGATGCGGTAATTTCACAAATTAAGCCTATTTTTTCCCGATTTGGATCGCCTGATATATTAGTAGCTGATAATGTTCCCTATAATAGTGAAAAACTTAAAACACTTTGCAGAAAATTGGAACTTTTCAATTTCGAAAAACTTGATTAAAAAATCAAACGAGGAAGAAAAAGTATGCTTACAATCTGCTTTAATGAATTATAGCAAATTCTCCACTTAAATACATGGGTTACTCACCATCGCAGCTATTGAATAGTCGTATTTGTAAGACTAAAGTTCTAATTTCCCAAGATTTGCTACAACCTGTTTTGTGTGAAAACGTTAAGGAGAAAATTAAAGTGAAACGTGATTTGAATCAGAAATATTTCGACAAAAATGCTAAAATCCTAAAACCACTTGAGCAAAGTACAAATGTTTCTATTTTCAACCATCAAACCAATACGTGGGACCCTGCAAAAATCAAACAATATCATGATTCGCCTAGGTCATATGTTTCACAAGACAGGTATGGTAACTATATTAGAAGAAACAGACATGATATCAAATCAACAGAAAGTTATTGATAATCCTTATTATAGGGATGAAAGTATCAATTGTCATTTCTGGGAAAGATTCTAATAGAGATGCCCTACTAGCTGTAAATAATAGATCCACGATTGTTTCTGATAAAATAAGTGTCAATACTGACTGATAAGGAATCTAGACATAGTGATACAAATTAACCCATTGCACATGTTCTTTTTCGGCCTAGTAGTAGTGAAAAATCAGAGTCAGATTATGTGACCCTCTCTGAGTCCTTATTCTCGAAATTGGGGAGCAGCATCCCCAGGAGAACGAGTGTTCTGTCTTTCTCCATGATATGCAAATGACAATATAAGTAACAAAGACGGAACACTCGTTCTCCTGGGAATGCTGCTCCCTTGTTTCAAGAATAAGGACCCTGGCCGTTTGGTTCAAAAACCAAAACAATGCCATTGGAAGATGCGCGCAGTTCAACCTGAACAGAAGTTATCGGAAACGAGAGATTGTGATAATGTCTGACAGCGAAGCAGTTATCAAAGCATTGAAATCCCTGGTCATCAATTCTAAGACAGTAGGTATGGAAATGTCTACAGAAACTAAACCAGGAAAACAAAATAAAGTTATATACCCTTCTCTGGGTGCCTGGATACATAGGTGTCGAGAGCAACGAATGCGGAGACAGACTCGCAAGAACAGGAGCGTCTACTCCTTTCATTGGGCAGAACCATTTTGCGGCGTCGGAAATGCACCTTCAAAAAATCCTCAAAAAAGAAGAGAACCAGCTAAGGAACAAACAATGGCTAGAACAGCCAGGACTACGACAGGCCAAAGATCTATTGGGCAACTTCAACCAAAAAAGATAAGAACTGCTGGTCAACCTTAGCAAGAAAAGTCTCAAGACTCTAACCGGGTTTCTTTCGGGACATTGCAGACTTAAGAAACACCTACAGAAGTTGGGGTTAGAAGAAGGTGGCACCTGCAGACTCTATGAAGATGGAGAAGAGACACCTTCTCATCTTCTACTGAACTGCGATGCCGTTAATCGCTCAAGGATGAAGAACCTGGGAAGTGCCCTTATACAGTTGGAAGACATTCTAGCCCTGGAACCGCTAGACATCCTGAAATTCCTAAAGAACCTAGGACTGAAGGGGCTGCTTTGAGCAGGAAATTGAACTTAGCAGCAGAAGGGGGTACAATAGATCAACCTTGGTCGCGGTGAAGCTGACACCTACAACACTCACATACACATACATATAAGCTGTTCATTTGTACTTGCTACCTGCTCAAAAAATCAGGAAGATCTGCTAGGAGCTACTATTAATGACCTTATTATATGGGAGTTATCGGACAAGTGAACGCCGATCAACTGCTGAGATATGCTTGAAGCAAGAATAGCAGTACAAATGAACAGCCTTATACATAAATACACAAGACCCGCCTTCCCCTCTGAACTTGTCATTTACTTGACCAAAATAATGAACAAATGCACACTCGTTTTTCTAGCTAATATCTGCCTCTAACTCATATAATATAAGTTCGATGGGTGCGTTCACATGCCAATTGATTGCAGCGCATGTTCCGCCTGTTTATAAAAACGGCATTGCCAGTAATCGTTTTTAGTTTTGAAGCCCCAATTTTTTAAAACAAAGTCATAACTCTGACACAAAATATTGTTCACTGTAATGTAATGTCTATCTATGCTAATATGTCATTGGATGTAAATCACCCTTTAAGCATCACTTGAATTGAAACAATCGGTTGAAAAATACCGGAGCTATAAGCGAAAAAGTAACGGCGTGTCCGGGCCTTAAAATGCGTCATAGCAAGCAGGGTCCCATAACCTTTCAACGTTTTTTCTGCTCCTCTATCCGATGGTAATTTTTTTGGAAATTCGGAAAAAAAATTAAAAATCAAGAAAGATGAGGAGGCTATATTTTTTCCGGTACATCGGAGAGAACTGAAATTCGGAATATCGACTAAAAATCACATTTTGATTATTCCCGATTTTTGATTGGCTCCAAATTATCCGCTGACGAATAGAATTATAGACTGGGCCCCGTGATTAAAATAAGTTTAGCCCTTCGGGCTCGTGTATAACTTCGGCCCTTCGGGCTCGTATTACTCCGGCCCTTCGGGCTCGCGTATAACTCCGAACCTTCGGGCTCGCGTATAACTCCGGCCCTTCGGGCTCGCGTATAACTCCGGCCCTTCGGGCTCGCGTATTACTCCGGCCCTTCGAGCTCGCGTATAATTCCGGCCCGGGCTCGTATTACTGAGTATCCCAGATTCACAGATTTGTGTCGTGGAGACGCGGGATTGATTGAAATAATATTGTCAGATTTTCTAAATTTAATTGAAATATCGAAATTTGGAAAGTGTAATGTAATGTCTATCTATGCTAATATGTCATTGGATGTAAATCACCCTTTAAGCATCACTTGAATTTCTTCCAAAGTCTTCCCTTTTGTCTCAGGGACGTAGAAAAAGTAAATAATTAAGGAAATTAAACTCAATAGTCCGAACGTGAACATAGGACACGCCATGTCGATATGTTCACTGGTGAAGTGATAGAATTTTGTCACTACAATAGCCAGAATGCTATAATATATAGTCACAACGCATAGAGCCTGTGGTTTAATTTTGGGATGGAATATTTCCGAAATCACTAGCAACGGGACATTCCTAACACCCACGCTAATGAATGCCACATTAACAAACAGGGCTATCGATAGAATAGAGCTGTAAGAATTCAAATCGATGCTAGTATAAGTCTGTACAGCCAAATAAGTAGATGCCCAAAATAATGTTAGAGTGGTGCCAGCCAAAGAGAATATAAACATTGGTCTTCTACCAAAATAATCGACAGCAAATGAAGCTAATATAGATAAAACTGCTTGTAAGCTGAAATATATTATAGTAGCAATATCGCTTGTTAAGAAACCTTCGTTTTGTTGAAATATGGTTTTGCAATAAAACGTAAGTGCTGTGGAACCGCAAAGTTGTTGTACACTACGCAGACCTATAGATATCAACATGGCTTTTCGATTAACAGGATTGTTGAATAGGTCCATAAATGTAGGATTGCCTTCATTTTGATCTTTCATGGATTCTTCCATATCGTTTGATAATCTACAATAATTATTTTAATATCATAATGATTTAAAAAAAAACAATAAAAACAAACCTGACAAATTCCTTATCACCTTCTTCCTCTCCTCTTAAGATTCTCAAGCTTTGTTTAGCTTCTTCAGATCTGCCTTGAAATAGTAACTGTACAGGGCTGTTTGGCATTAAAATAAAACTTAGAAACCCTATAAGAGGAATCGAACAAGATATTAATGCTGTTGTATCAATAGACAAGTAAATTCCTAAAATGTTAATCAAAAGTATTCCAAACACTACAAACAATGGACAAATTGATGAAAGCAACCCTCTTATAGCAGGTTCAGAAATTTCCCCCAAATACATTGGTACTGTAGCAAAGCTCAAACCACTTCCAAGTCCACCTAAAAGTTTCAATTCTGGATTAACGGGCGAAGGAAACAGAAATATTTACACTTACCTAAAGCTCTTGCCCAAAACATAAGCCAATTCGTTCTAGCCAACGCCATGCATAACCAACTAATGAACAAAGGCACTGAAGTGGCTAAAATTAGTTTTTTTCTACCAAAGTGTGCCAAACAGTTGGACGTCACGGCTCCGGCCACCATGCCAGGAAATAAGGCTAGGGCCATCCAAGAAGCTCCTTCGCTGGAAACATTGAAGTAGTAAGTTCCGTTGGTGAGCACTGGAAGGGCTGGAGATGCCCATCCAAAGTGCATTTCAGATGACAGAATACCCAGTGAAGCTGAAAAAAGGTATAATTTAACAGCAAGTAAATACGATCCAAAAATCGAAGAGTTGCGCCAACGATGAAGTGTTTTTAAAATAGAATACCCTGAAAAGAAAATTGAAAATTAGACGACATCATTCAAGGCATGCGGAGGAGCTCCATCTTGTTGCCAAATGAAGTTTCGACATTCTCATATTCTTCTAAGGGTAATTCATCTAACAAATTTTCTATTGGGCTTTGAAGGAATCCAAGATATCGTTATCCATTCAAGTTCTGTTTCCACAGAAATCACAAACCAGTCAGAGCCTTTTTGATTGGTCCAAATTGCCAACAACCTTCCTTGGAATTTGATAGTTTGAATTTTTCTTGGGTTTTCCATAGCCCAGTAATGAGTGTTGTGTCGATTAAATGGGCCTGATGTGGTGAATGTTGCCTCGTACAGACTAGGAGACGTCAATTAGTCGTAGTCAAACTGACTGCCAGTAGTTCTTTAGTCCTTTAGATAACAGAAACTGCATGCATTAACATAGTTACTGACGTTACTGTGTACCATTAATTCAGTAACTACACGTAGTGATTAAACACTAGCGATCAGTAACAACGCCGCTATTTACATGACCCGGACAAAATATGGTGGCAGCGTGAAAGTGAACTAGTTGTTTGAACTTTGGCTATTTCTTGTGGTTCTGTTTCCTGCAGCCTGCAGGTAGGCAAAGATTAAGGCAAAGGATTACAAATCGTATGATTGTTATTTGTTATTGAACAAAAAATTAGGAAACATGTCAGATAGCAGAACTCTGGAAGAAATGAAAATCTTCTTGCATATTGGAAACTTTGGAGACAGAAATTTGATAGTAATTACTTGTTGGCAAATCGAGAAAAACTCAAAGGGTGATGATGTCAATAATAGTCATATTTGAAAATTTTTGGACTAAATTTCTCTGCTATTCCATCCATAGACGCGTTTCAATCTATCAGGTCTCGTCAGTATGGCTAGGAAAGCAAAGAAAACCAATCCAAGTTTAGTGCCTGTAGGTAAAATAGAAGTAGTACGACGAGCGAAATTTGATGGTGGCGCCATCTAAGACTAGGATTCAACACTAAACAGCACTTTTGCTGTATTTAGTGATGACCAGCCAATCCAAGGTGGATTGGTTTTCTTTGCTTTCCTAGCCATAGTGACGAGATCTGATAGGTCGAAACGCGTCTATGGATGGAATAGCAGAGAAAATTAATCCAAAAATTTTCACATCAGTGGATGATAGGAGAAAACTTGTTTTCCCTATTCTGGGTTTTCCCAACGAACTGATTTTTGGTCGGCCTATTAGATGGTCATCACTAACTACAGCAAAAGTGCTGTTTAGTGTTGAATCCTAGTCTTAGATGGCGCCACGATCAAATTTCGCTTGTCGTAATAGCCATATTGTTGAATCTATGTCCTTGTAATCTATAACACTTTTGAACACACAGAAACCGGAGATAAAACCAAGCTTCGTACAGTTTTAGATAAGTTTGAAGCCTATGGCAACTCCCGGAAGAACAAGGTATATGAACATTTTAAGTTTTTTAAAAGAGATCAACTTGCTGGTAGAACGATTAATTAATTTCTCACTTCGTTGATAAAACTATCGTCGACATGTCAATTTGCGAAGACTGATGTGATGATATTGGATAGACTGATTTTAGGAATCAGGGACCTACGCACAAAAGAAAGACTGTTGCAGGAATCTGATCTTTTACTGAGTATCGCCATTCAAATCTGTAGATCTATGGAAGCAAGTGAAGCAACCCAAAAGATTATTACAATAGAACAACAAGTCGGTGCTATAAATTTAAAGTATAGGATGCATCCAAACAATGGTGGATCGAGTGGCGTTAAACCCACCTTCAACAAGAGAGTGGATAAACATTTGAACTGCAATTATTGTGGATAAGTTCACAAAAAAGGAAAATGTCCAGCATTTAATCGTATTTTTTTCCAAAAGCTGTGCCGTAGCAAATATGTACACCATATCGAAGAGGATGACGATTATGACGATGATGGTAGTGCTGATGACTCTGATAGTGACGTTGAAAGTTTAATAATCTCAAGTAAAGACTCTAATAGGTACTCGCCAGAAGGGTAAGTAAAGTCAAAATAATGTATTGATATGGACAATCACCTTCAATGTGGACTCAGTTTAATAGTCTGAGTGTGTTGAAATAGAAAAAATAGACACTAAAAGCTAGGTAAACATTTTAAATTATCATGATTTTGTGAAACTTAGTACAAAAATCAATTTCGATAATTTAAGCATAGGTATCATGCAATTTCAGTGTTATTATCATATTCTGGCCACAAAAGACATTTTAGGTCAAGTCAAAGTGAAATGTCAATTTGAAGCAAAAAGCAAAGAAATTTTAATTCGTGTACTTAAGAATAATCCAGCTTATTCAATATTAGGACATCAAGCCTACCAAGATTTAAAAAATATTCTCAAGAAATGTTTTGAAATTGATCAGGATGCATCAGGCAACCATATTACAAGAATCAATAGCCTTGACGCTATATTAAGAAACCACGAAAAAGTATTTCCTGGTATAGGAAAAGTAGATCGCAGTTACACAATAAAATTGACAGAAGATGCTGCTCCTAGAACTTTTGCAGCGCGTAAAACTCCTATCGCTCTAAAAGAAAAGGTCAAAGAAAAAATAGACCAAATGGTTTCTCAGAGAATTCGTTTTCTAGTCACTGAGCCAACTGACTGCATATGGCAAAAACAGATGTGACGTCAGGTGACCATTGGCGTTCTAACGTAGGGAGCCACCAGCTCACATTCCTTTGGAGTATCAGATTAATATCGACGGTCAGTAATGGTGATATTCGTGAGTGCATGGACCCCAAACATTTAAATCAATATTTAAAACGAAAATATTTCAATATTGCAACCACGGATATTTTATTTAGTAAACTTCATGATGCAATTTTTTTTACACAGACCGTTTTTACAGATACCATTGGACTATGAAAATTCTAGATTGTGTACCGTCGCCACTTGTTGGAGTAGAGATTCGCACGATTGCCATTTGGCATAAGCTCAGCGCCAGAAATTTTCCAGCTATGTATGAAACGTTGGAAGATGTGCCAGGTGTAATATCATATTTCGATGTTGTACCCACTTGTGTTCGGCAGGACCCTAAAAGAACATAACAGAAATTTGGACATAGTATTATCAAAAATCTGTATAAGTGGCCTTACTGTAAAAAAAAATCGCTTTTTTGTCAGAAAAGCATAAAGATCTTAGGTCATGTTATCAGCGAAGCGGGTATTGCTGTTGAGGGAAAGAAAATTGATGCTATTAAAAATATGAGCCACCGGAAAGAACTACAAGATTTTTGGGCATGATTGTTTACCTTGCTAAATTTTTACAAAACCTTTCACAAAAAACTTCTGAATGAAAAAAATGAATGGGTGTGGACTGAAGAATATTTGTTTTCAACAGCTTAAAAAACTTGTGACATCTACACAAGTGCTATCATATTTTGACCCTAAAAAATAAACTATTCTTAGTGTTGATGCAAGCCCATTCGGTCTTGGAGCAGTGATTATGCAGGAATATCATCCAGTGGAATATGCTTCAATATCACTTATGCATTGGTTATGTTGTAAATGATTTTTAATTCAAACTGATCATAGGCCCTTTTTAGGTATACTGAAGAAACCTTTAGATGAGTAGTCTCCGAGATTGCAAAGACTAGCTATTCGATTGCTAAGATATCAGCTTAGATTAGAATATGTCCCTGGGAAGAACATGCAAATAGCTGATACTCTTAGTACAAGCCCAACTCATGAATTTATTGATACCACGTACTTGGATACAAACTTAATGGTTTATTCTGTGATAGCTACATCCCCAGATAACGAAGAACGCCCTAAACAAGGCATCTCAAATGATGCTATTTTGCAACAAGTAACAAATTTTGTCCTATCTGGATGGCCTGAACACAAAAAACAATATTCCCTCTGAATTGAAAAAGTACATGTCATACTTTAAAAATGATCCCTATACTTATATAGAGATGTTTAGAAGAAAAGATTACTAATACCACAAACCTTAAGGCAAGACTTTTTAAATTTGATACACAATTGCCACCAAGGTGTAAAAACCGATCCCAAGAAACAGTTTATTGGCCAGGAATAACCAGGGATATTGAAAATGTTGTACTTTGCTGTCAAACCTGTCAAGAAATACGCTCGAAAGAACCAAAAAGAGCATCTTTCATTCTCAGGAAAACAGCCAAGACTGTGATATCTGCATTGAGAAATATATTTGCAATCAATGGTGTTCCTTTAGAAATCGGATAATGGACACGGTAATTTCGCAAAATTTACGAGCAAATACATCAAACTTACTACTTCGAGTCCTCACTATACCCAAACTCCAGTTATTTTAGGCCGGAAAAAGCAGAATCTGCTGAAAAATGCCGAGTGATCCTAAATTTTGTCTACACCTTTATTTTACCTCAAGAAATAATGTCTTAAAAGTCCCCATCATTATCGCCTCATCGCGGTTGGGTTTTTAGATATTCAAGGTTAAAGGTCATGAAAATCTTATTTTCTCAATAATCTTGCTTTTCGTCAGGCGTATAACTTTTTGCGTAATTGCAAGAAATTGAAAGCGGAAAATTCTCTACAAAACAAAATAAGATAAGTCTTTTCTGTACAACCAATGAGCAGAGGGTAGTGAGGTAGTGCCACCGTGCCTTAAACCAGGGAGAGGAAAAATAAAATCAAAAACATACTCTTCTTCCAGCCTAAATAAGTGTGCAAATTGTAAGAGACATCTGTTGTTACTACACGCTATCAATGGTTGTGACACAACCTCTGCACTTTTTATTAAAGGAAAAATAAGAGCCCCTCAAGACACCAGATGTACTTTTAAACACTATTTTTTGCAACTGCACTAAAGGATGCAAAGTTGGACTGTCATGTTTAATACTGTGTGGTCA